TTTTTTTTGTTTTAGCCCTTCAAAAATCTATGTGAAACCCAAAGCAAAAACACTTATTTCATTTTAGTTTTTGTTTTTTCGTTGTGTGTTTATTTTTTTGATTTTTTAAAAATAGATTTAAACATAAAAATAAAAATAAAAATACAGGGTTGTATTCCTCAACAAAACCTACAACCCCATTTTTTTTTTGTTTTTTTTGGATAATTTTTGCCCAGGAAAAAAATCATCCCGGACCCCGTTAATTCCCGTCCAACTCGCGTTTGAACGGGAGTTTAACGCGAATTCAACGCGCGTTGAATTTTTCAACGAGAAACCCGCGTTAAATCCAATTTCGGACATGATGTTTCTTTTTGGAGCATGATGACGACGACAATGCGATCGACCGGCCTGTTCAAGTGTTCGTAAATGTCCTTGAGATTTTGCCGAACCCAGACAACGGGGAATTCCAGTACAATCACAGACCCCTGAACGAGATGTTGGTCGCCTCCATCAAAGACGCTATGGAACGGCCAGAGAAACAGAAAGAGTGGGACAGAAACACCTTCATTCTGGCTCCTTTTATAGATGTCACGTTGAACGGGCAGAAACAGTGGCAACGTTTGAAACCCAAGGACTGGAGGGACGAGGATGTCAGTTCGTACCATTGGTACGCCATGGCAGGCCAACACACGGCGGAACCTGTGAAGATGTTGGTTGCGAACTCTCCCGCTGCCAGGAAATGGGGCGTGCGGTCATGGAAAGCGAGTGCGGTGTACTTCGATGATGACCATCTTGACGGGTATGCCTACATTTCCACATTTGACAACACGAGGGAGACTCGATCTATCCCTTCGTCATTCAAAATGACTGTCACCGCAATACAAAAGATGACAAGGTGGCGCAGCAGCAGAATTATCACGCTTTTCTGCGCAAAGCGATACGGATGACACCAGACACCGAGCTTTGGAATCAGTCGTTGAACAACAAATTTGTCCGTAATTGGTCCAACCTCTTGAGGCCGTTCATGTGCCTTGCCACCACTGGCAACGCAGTGTGGCAGTTGGTGAACCGGTTCTTCGACATGTGGGAGAAAGGGGAATTGCCTGGGCAGGATGGAGTTAGGCCGGTTGATTAAGAGGGGAGGTAAGGCGAGGCGTCCGGTGCAGGTCTAGCTGCCAAAACAGTGAAACGGAAAAAGGAACTGGCGCACTACGTGCAGTCGAACAAAAGTCCAAATAGGTACTATGTGTGTGTTCATGACCCTCCGGCGAGCGCTTGAAAAATGTTCGGGGATTTCACTGCTAGGGAGAAGAAGATGACATTGGATTTGATTTTGGCAGGGAAGGTCGTTGTCACCACCGGCAGGACTTTCGCCAAGAAACTGATGAACATGAACGACCTCTACACAGAAGTGTGCAGGGAGAGATACATGGTGCGCATGTTCAACTACGTGCTCTTCAAGTCAGAACGCAGAGGACAGCGTGAGTGGAATGACGATTTCTTCATCCGGTATGATGATATTATGAAGAGGTTTGAGCTGCACGGGTTGACGAAAGAGATATGGGAGAAAAAAAAGATGAAACTTCCAGTTGAGAGAACGAACAACGTGCCGAAACGATTGGGGGGGGTGGATGAGGGAAAGTTGGGACAGGGGAATGTGGGGTATAAGGTGACGACTGAAATGTATATTGAGTGCCCGTACTTCATCAAATTGTTCCTGCATGAGATAGTGGGAGCGGTGAGCCAGTTGAAGGACGAGCTTCAGCGCGTCAACGCAAATGCACAACATATACTGTAGGATAAGCGGAAGTGTAATACAACGTATTTGCCTGTGTGCATGGCGCCATTGGATTGGCTGCAACCGACAGAGGATCTAACTCGTGCTGTGAAGAAATTGAGTTGTCACCTTGCGGTGCTGGAACTGGCTCCCCACAAGAATCTGGATTCATGGACGGAGCAGAGGTTTGTGGAACTTCAGCAAATGATGATGACTCTGTGTGGGACACATTGGACACTCATCATTTTCAGTGGATTGAAGGGCGAGGACTACATTCTGTGGAACATCTTCAAGTGGGGGGGTGTGAAAGTTCTTCCGGGCCGCTGGCGACGGCATCATGGCACGCAACCATCCTCATGTGTCCCCCTTGGGAATCTTCCATTGAGGAGCCGCGACTCAATGACGATTGTGTTGCACGACACGGGCAATGACTTCAAAAAAGTCACCGTCCCGTCGAAACGTGATAATGTGTTTTTTAACACTAACTACGAGGAGGATATATTCGTCCGTTGCACACAACAGCACATCGGCGTGGCCGACGAAGACAAAGTTGTTTATGGGGTCTGGGAGAGACAACCAGCAAGAATGAAGGAGTTGTGTTCATGGTTTTCGAAGGAGGGGGAGGGTGCTTCTTCTGGGCAACGTCCAATCTGGGTCAGTTTGGGACTTGCTTCGATCTGGCCGTCATGTGGTGGCATGTGATTGTTCGTCGTTTATTGATCACCTCGTCCATAATCCCGAAAGTCGTTGTCACTTCGAACGGCCCAGAACCCAGCATCGGCCAGACCGAGACATGTTCCTGAAACTCGGGAAGAAGAGAGAATCTTTATGGAAGTACTTGTTCTGCAATTCTCCTGACACACGAAGGGAGACTGATTACGTTGCGTGAAAAGTCGTCGCTCTCCAACACCTCCAGCGGTACCACGACGCCAAGATTGGTGCAATTAAGATATTTCTGGCACGTTGCGAGGACCTGTGGTTCAACAGAAAGATGCGCCGCATCAACACAAGGATCTACAACGAAGCGTTGGAGCCTGAAGACTGTTTCGATATAATGGACAGTGAGGAGGATACCGATGATGGCGAGATCGACCTGCCGCTGCCTGATGCAAGAAACCACGCAGCTGACAAGAACATGCGCATCGGGTCCTTATCGGGGGGGGACCCGGTGGTGGTTGAAGTCGGTGGACCGACAATGGCCAGCTGCAAGACCGCCCAGCTCACACATACGCAGACGTCATCCGCAGGAGATGGTACCGAGGCAAGCACTTCGAAATGGAAAGACAAGAGAGGCGCCCCAGGGTTTCCAACGCTGATGCGGCAAATGTTCGACCACATCATGGAAATGCCAACAGAGAACCAAACTCGTGGTCAACATGACGACTCGGAGCCCGAGGAGGATGACATGTGTCTGGAGGACAATCCACTGTTCCATATTCCAGACGACGAGGACAAAGATCTAACTCCTGGAGATGAAATCGAAAGTCACATGAAGGAGAGCAAAGGATGACCTCACTTTTTGGACACCAAGTTCACAGAGACCGAGGTGTACAAATGGGACCATCACATCATATGGCATCCGGGTGTTTTTGAGCCATGTGTGTTTGATGGCAAATGGCATATGGTTGTCCGAGTCGGAGGGAAGTGGATATTGAAGAAGAGACTGAGCAGGAGTAAGTTCCTTGAGACGCCAAAGGAACAGTTGTTGTTGCGCGAGCTGCAGGCAAACAAGGGTGCAGGAGAGCAAGATATCAACGAAAAGGTGAACTCCGTATTTGAAGCGCTACTTCAAAACAATCTTGTGGAGTATTGCGCTGCTTTCTATGAGAGAAAATCGAGCCCTTCACGAGGACAGATCAGATGGGCATTGGAGTGTCGTCAGGCGGAACAAATGTACGACAGTGACATATTGGTGGGGTGCACTCAAGCCATGGAAGAGAATATCCGAAATGGGTCTAGACAAGGAGCGTTAAGACGAGTGTTGCTGAAAAGGAAGGGCGTGAGAGGAAGGACGTCGAATGTAAACAACAGGGAACTCATGAGGCATCAGTTGATTAGCTACTAAAAATGCCGTTTTCTGAGGGTGTTGGTGCGGTGCCAGGGGAAAAGACGGCAGGTCCGGGATGTGGTGGGGAAGAGGCAGGAAATACAAAGGAATAGGGGGAAAAGAAGACCACAACCGATGAAGATGCGAGAGATGCCGGAGATGGGGGTGCCCAGCGGGTGCCCAGTGGACTGGGAGACCCGCTTTCGGCAGCCAACACAGGCATGTCGTCACATGGAGGACGGAGTGGGGGGGAGCACGATGCGGGAGATGCACTGGTATTTGGAGGAGCAAGCCCGCGGGACACTACCAAGCCTTTAGCGGATAACAGAGATGAGGGGGACAAACTTCTGCACATGGTATGCACTGGCTCTGGCTCGCAGATAGCACCAGACTCGATGGAGAGGGAAGAAGGTGGTGGTATGGAGGGAGTTCGTATGACACATGGTCGTGAAGCGGGAAATGATGATGAGGAAGCTGACGGGGATGCAAACCTCGAACACAACATGGACGTGGACAATGAGGATGGATTGGGAAAGGAAGCTTCCTGCCGTGGCAGATCCGGCAGCAGCAGTTCGAACGTGATCAACTTGATCGAGCAATCAGGTGAGAACAGAGGAAAGTCACACAGTGAAGAAAGATCGTTGTCATCAGCCGAGCCAACACAAATGGACCATGCTTTGCATGATGGGGCTGAGGGAAGGTGCAGTCCGAAGCGTGAAACAAGAGAGGAAAAAAAGGAATGCGGTGTGCGGCGCTCAAAGAGAGGTAGGGAGAAGAAAGCATCATAGCACACACGCATGTGCATGTGTGTATGTCTTGAAGTGACGTGTGTGTGTGTGTGTGTGTATGCGTATGTTGTGAGCGTATATGTGTGTGTGTGTGTGTGAATGTTTCGTGTGTGTGTGCCTATGTGTGCGTGTGTGTGTGTGTATGTGTATGCGTGTGTGTGTGTTTGTGTGTGTGTGTGTGTGTGTGTCTTGCAGTGACGTGTGTGTGTGTGTGTCTGTGTGTGTGTGTGTCTATGTGTGTGTGTGTGTATGTGCATATGCGTATGTTGTGAGCGTATTTGTGTGTGTGTGTGTGTGAATGTTTCATGTGTGTGTGCCTATGTGTGCGTGTGTGTGTGTGTGTATGTGTGTGTGTGTGTGTGTGTGTGTGTGTGTGTGTGTGTGTGTGTGTGTGTGTGTGTGTGTGTGAGAGAGTGTGTGTATGTGTTTGTGCATGAGCATGAATATGGATAGAACGGTGTACAAGAGGTCCGGTTGTCGGTGCTGAATGGAATATTCCTAAGTTACATTTATGATTCGATGACGCCGATCGACAAAAGGTGTTGGAAATTGTGAAACATTGCATTCAGTTTTCCAACAAACCGTTTGAGGAGGACAATTTATTAATGAAGTAATATTGTAATGCGAAGAAGATGGTGGTGGATCTCTCTCTCTCTCTCTCTCTCTCTCTCTCTCTCTTTCTTTGTACAAGAGATTCGGTTGTCGGTGCTTAATGGAATATTCCTAAGTTACATTTATCATTCGATGACGTCGATCGACAAAAAGTGCTGGAAGTTGTGAAATATTCCATTCAGTTTTC